ACTGGAAGGAGTTCCTGTATCTAGACGCGGGTGATGTGGATCAACGTTAGAGGGTCTGAACCCTTCAGACCTACCTTGATCATCTTGAGTTTTCACAAACAAGGTATGACATACGTCTTAAAGTATGTATCTTGATATGCACGTGTGTTCCGCTTGCGAAAAATTTTGTTTTTCCCTCACGCATGTTTCGGCCTTCAAGGCCAATTCTACTTTCAAAGAGCAGGGGAGGCATTTTGCCATTACCTCTTGCATTGTGGTGGAAATTGCACCTTTGTGTCATCATTATGTATCCCATAATCAGGCTTCTTTGATGCATTTTCCAGTCTAGGATGATTAGGTTAGTCAAACTAGATGTTCTAATGTAAACTTCAACCATTGGTTATTGGTTTGGCATAATTAAATATAAGTAAATGAGTGGCGGATTCAGAAAAAATTTGTGGAAGGGGAATTTAAAATTCACACTACTTAAGTAGGATAACACAATAGTGAGTTGATATATGGTCAGATTTAAAGAAGTTTTTGAATTTTCTTCATACATTAGTAATAACAAAAATGAAAGGGGTGAAATTGTGTTGCACTATATTTTTTAAGATTGAATTTAGTCTAAAGTAAAATTTTGATGAACAGGAGGGTGATCGCCCTCTAATTCCTCCATGACTCCACTACATCAAATCAGTCAAGATATGTTTCTCTCTTTGGGTAAAACGTGGAGTTGGGTTTGACCCACTTTTTTTTTATATTTAAATTAAAAATACATTTACATTTTTTGTGGTTAATGCATTTAAAATTTTAATGGTAACTATATAATTTTTCTTTACAAACAAAAATAAAGATAAAGACGAAAAGTCACAAAAATAATAATAAGAATTATAGTGTTTTTCTCAAAAAATAAAAAAGTACCTAGTTACAAAAAAAAGTACCTTATACAAAAAATTTAAAAAATTTGTTTCCCAAATTTTTTTAATCTTATCTAAATGCAACCTATTTTAGAATATGATTCAAATCTCACTCCAAATTATGATCATTTTTTAATACTTGTTTTTGGTTGCCACTCATCCTGTCTTTACTTTATTGAGGGAAAAATCTAAAGGATACATGGATCATGCCCAAATGATTTTTCCTCTTTAATAAGAGAAATAGAAAATTTTAATCTATTGTTAACTTGCTTGTTTTACTCAATCATGGCGCAGTTACCTAATTATAACATATTCATAAAAAAGAAGAATATGTATGCCAAAAAAAGAGATTCCGTTGTGCAATTTTGAGTGTCCTTAATTTCTTTGTCATTTCATCCTTCATGACTAGACCGTTTCATTCCTTATGGAAGAAAAAGAGGGGGAAAGTGTGACTAAGTTGGAAATAAGCAATTTGGAGTGTATTTGAAGATTTCTTGCTCTGTAAACTAAAATTACAAAGTCATATTAATGATAACTTCATTCATATATTTGGCACATGCACCAAGTCATGCGTTTCTTTCAATGATATAACTAAATCACCCTTAATTTCAATTGTTGCTCACAACTTCTTTTTAAGGAAACATATGAGAGGGTGAATGTGCTTGTTGCTTTTAACTTTTTATTTTGGGAATGGAACATAAAAACAAAGAATGCCTTGAGTGGGAAAGTTACATATTGGAAGTTCAATATAAGAAAACATTAAATATCATAATTTTAGTTTAGAGTATAAATGAGCTACGCGAATTATCACAGGTCTACGGCCTGGCCTATAGGTTTTATTAATAATGCTAATATTATTAAAAATAAAACAAATATAGATTGAAAGATAACATAAAGAACAATGGTAGTTATATAAGAGCGAGTTAATGTCTCAAAGATATTTTTTCTTTTAAAAAATGGGATGATTATATTGTCTACCTATTTAATTTTTATACCCTTACTACTTTTTATCACTGTTCAATTATATTTAAATTAAAGGGTTTGATATTTGTCATTTTAAATGACATAAGTTATGTCATTTTAGGAGAGAGATAGACACAAAAAATAAAAATCATGGGAGAAAGAAAGTGGATAGTTTTTTTTAATTTAAAATTTAAATAAAAAAAATTATTTTGTATCTATCTCTCTTTTAAAATGACATAACTTTATGTCATTTAAGATGACAAACACTTTCTCCTTAAATTAATTGTTGAAATCTATGTAGCACCGATACGATACGCGACACGTGACACGACACGACACGACACTCCGACATGCCAATCTTAAAAAATTATGGATTTCGACACCTTGGAACACGTTTTAATATTAAATAATATTTTTAATTTATATAGTGTATATTTCATTTAACATTTAATAATTTAACAAAAAAGTGAAACTAAATTAATAATATCCATCAACACGTTATAAAGATGGAAACTTTAATAAAAAAATAAGAACTGGGATGAGAAAGAGATATAATATCAGATAGAGAGATCAAATCATATTAGAGAGAGATCAGAGAGAAAGAGATACAACAAGAGCGTGATAGGAATTGACAACAATGATGCTAAAATGATCTCTTATCTACTTAAGGGGAAAAAGACAAAAAAATAAAATTGATATGATCAGGTGGAAGCTTTATTAATATATTTTAATTTTAAAAAAAATAATTTTTTTTTAAAAAAGAATTAAAAAAATTTAAAAAAAATTACGAAAATACCGTTTGACCGTGTCGGACACGGTCAAATTCGCGTGTCGGAATGGTCAACGTGTCGGAGAAAGTTGACCGCGTGTCCGACACCGTGTCGGAGCGTGTCGCCGTGTCGGAGAGTGTCAGACACGACTCTCCCTATTTTAACAAGTGTCCGTGCTTCCTTGGTTGAAATAGAGAGAATCAAAATGTGTAATTAGTTGAGAAAAATGAGGGAGAGAAACAAAATAAAAAAAATCATTTTATTTAAGATCATTGATTTAAATTTAATGTAATGGTAATAAAAAGGTAATAAAGGTAGGAAGATTAAAGAGGTAGCCAATATAACCATTCCCTTTAAAAAATATTGCACTAAAAGTTAAATGGATTTTTTTTAACTAGTATTTTATAAATAAAGAAACACGTTAAGGAATTAAAAGATATATTAATTTTCATAAAAATAATTCTATTTATTATTTTTTGTAAAATCATCTTAAATTCTTAATTATTAAGAAATACTAATTTTTTTAATCTTTATCGTATTAAATATTTTTAATTTTATTTAATAACTTGTATTTTTAATTCTTAAACATATTTTATAAGTATACAAATTAGCTGAAACCAATTTAAAAATATCATTCAATCCATGTATGAATACATATTAGCAAATTTAGTCAAAACTACATTGTTTTTTACTCTTGGTCACCATCAATTCCCTTGTAAAGAACTTTGGGATACATCACCCCAAAAGTTAGTTCAAAGGGTGAGAGTGTCCAAGACCTTATAAACTCTACATTAGTTGCACATACAACCAATGTGGGACTATATATCTCAACACGTCCCCTCACACAAGAACCCATTAGGCTTGAAGAGTGGACAATACAACAGGCCCAGCCTACCTGTGCTAAGAAACGCCACAAGAGAAAGTGGGGGGCGACGAGACTCTGATACCATGTAAAGAACCTTGGGATACACCACCCTAAAAACTAGCTCAAAGGGTAAGAGTGCCCAAGACCTTATAAACTCCACATTAGTTGCACATACAATTAATGTGGGACTATATCCAATGATTAAATATCTTACATTTCATTCAATTTATATGTGTGTAAGGCTCAATGAGTTTTTTGTCATTGGATTTTCAATAATTGTCATTGGATTTTCAATAATTTGATCAAGTGAATTATACATGGTACAATGGATTTATTCATTCATCTCCCCAAAACTTCAATTGATATAAAGAATCATTTATTGTTACACATAAATAGGCGGCAGAAGATGTGCTAGAACGATTGTGGTGGTAGATGAGAAAGAGGTTAGTTTATTGGCATTGAAATGTAACAACGTGATTTCCAAAAACCATTGAACTATAACAATAGATTTAACAAAGTTTTTTTTTAATTTATTTTTTCCATTTAAATTATAATCAAGTTTTAGTACTCCATTACATTGATTTTCTCAAAATTATTTTTTCTTGTTGAAGTACTCCATTATAATAATAGGCGAGTAGCTATTCCAAGATCATTTTATTAATTATGAGGACTCAACTTGAGACCTCTCTAATTAATACGAACAAACTTACTGAAAACAATGATAGTGTATTATTCTCTATTATAATAGCCATTGAAAGGAATGTCAACGAATAATATTTTTTTTTACAAGGGATCAAAATTCTTTTTCAAATAAATACATATAAATAAACTAATTTTACTTATTCATTGAAAATAAATTATTAATATATTAGTAATATCACGATTAATTATACAATCAATATTATATGAATAATTTATTAACTTCATATATCAATATAAATGTATACAGTATTAATCTGCAATTGTGACCGAAATAGTTCACAAACACAAAAAAACATTCTTCTGATAAAATATTCTCTTTTATTCCATCAAAAATATTTTATGTAATCTCTTGTGAAGAAGGTTATACTTATATTTTTTTTTTACAATCTCTTAGAACCATATTTTAATATCGTTGATTTCTGCAATCAACGGTTCTTATTTTCACAAATTAAACTCATTAATTAATTGTTAATTCACAATAAATAATAACAGTTAATTGACAGAGATCAACAATATTAAGATATAATTATACAAAATTATATAAAAAAAAATTATAAATATAAACTTTCTCGTCTCTCGTTTTGTCTGAGGCATAAATGTATTAAAGTTTATGTAAATCAAGCCCGAAATTTAAATTAAAATTAAAAAGATGTGAAAATTGAAAAGCTTAACATTTTGGAGAGAGAGAGAGAGACACAGACACGCGCGCGTAAATGGAGGGTCTTTTTATTTTTCCGAATTTGTTTCCTTCGTTATCTTGTTCTTTCCCTCTCTACCTTTTTTTTTGTTTTTCTCTCTCCTCGGATCCCTCCCTGTTTTCCGGCGAGTTTCCGGCGGTTTTCGTTCCAAATTCCTACACTCCCCTTTCCCCAATTCCCTGCCACGATTCATTTCTTAAATCATCAATATTGGCAATACGTAAATATTCATACCTATTTATAAAAAAATTCATTCAAATAAATTTCATTATTATTTTTCTATAATTTTTTGGATCATCATTATTATTATTTCATTTGTGAGATTATTAGGAAGATTAATTAACAACAAACTTGGAAACTTTTATTTTTATTTTTGTGGGTTTCCATCAGAGTAAGAATTAAACGAAAATTTTTTGGAACTTTTTTTTTTTTTCTTTTTCTTTCTCTAGTCCAAACCATTGTCTTCGTTGTCGTTGTGCTTTTTCGGTGTTTTGTTTTGAGGGAAAAACGCGAAAAGTAGAGAAATTTTGGAGGTGAGTTTTGTTTTGGGGTGGTTGTGATTTGGATGGTTTCGACGAGGTTAAGGACATGGAGACACTTGTGACCTGAGCAGTGAGAAATTCGTGAGTCTTTTTTCTTTTTTTTTTCATGATGGTGGAAGAAGAGGGTGATGATTGAATATAAGGGTGAATTTGAAGAATCGGTGGTGACCCTTTTGTTGTTGTTGTTGTGTGTAGCTGTTATTTTGATCTCTTTGGTTTTTGGGATGAGTAGGAATGATGGCCAGAAACAACAGCACCTTCTTCATGGAGGTGGAGCTGCTGGTACTGGAAGTGATCATAGTGGCAAAAACAACAACAATGGCTTTATTCCCAGCTCCTTCCTTTCTCTCTCCAGCTACCTGAGGGTTGTTTCCTCCGGTGCTTCAACCGTTGCCCGGTCTGCTGCGGCTTCCCTTGCATCCACGATTTTGGATAGGGATGATGATGCTGACTGTGATAAGGTATGCACGGAGTGTGAGTACTAAATGGGGGGAAAATGTGGCTTGCTTGCTCATCAAGATGATCAAGTTTATGAATTGTAGTTTACTTGCTCCTGATGATAAACTTGTCATACTTGTAGGTTGTTGAGTTATGCAAGCTAGATTAACTTTCTGCTTTTATTGCTGGGGGTGAAAGTTTGCTTCTTTGTTCACCAATTAGTTTAGGCTTCTCCTAACTTGAGAGGATAGTTTGGACAAGTCAAATTCAGGTGTAGTTGCTGTTACTCTGTTTGCTCACACTTGGGGGATCAGGATCCTCATGTCATGTGCTAAGTGTACTTTGGACAGTAGAGTGTGGAGTTTATTTGAGAAAATTAATGGTTTAGATTTTTTGAAGTAAAATAAGCCGGATAAGTTATAGTTAATTTGAGAGTCCACTCTCATCATTTTCTCACCAGCATTTACCATTTGAACTTTACCCTTTGAAGTGTGCCTGCACTTTAGAGAACCCATATCCGTATTTGAAGTATAGTAAATTTTATTTGTATTCAGTTCTTTTAGTAATTTCATGCCTAAACTTGGTGCATGCAAGTTTTCGCATATGCAAATGTGGTGCACATTACTTCTATAAATGCAAATGGGTAATGTATATGTGCAATTCCTTATGGTGATGAGCATGCCATCATTTATCCAAGTTGGTCAGCAGGGTGCACTTGCTGGGGTTTGTGACTACCAGTTTGTGAAGTTCATGAGCATGCATGCAGTGTTTATCCCACAATAGTTCTTTGTCAAGCAGAATGTTTTTAAAAAGCTGAAATGTAGAAACATGACGTGTATTTTTTGCAAATTGAATGGGTACACGTGTCTTATGGATTTATGTATTGGACTTTCTAATTAAAAACCTGATAATATCTTTGCCATTTGCCTTGAATGTTTTGTTATGGGAGGTTATAGCTGTATCTGTTAGTTGAGATTTTATTCTATTTCGATTCGATATTTGTACGTATTCGGGTACGAGCATCCATGTGTTAAGCAATTAGGATTTTTGTTGGATGAGCGCGTGGTCTAATGTCATGGTTGAAATATTGGTCAAGAAATTTTTGTTGTTTTTTTTTCTGTCTGTAGAGCTGGCAGCAAGGTGTCCTTTTTGCCGGTTGAACTGTTAACCTATTTGTCGGTTTCAGCATGGTCACTATTAAATAGGGTTTTAAGAAATTTGAATATCGAATATAAAGGGCAAAGGCAGACCTGTTGTACAAAACTCCCAATTTTGCAAGGGTAGGGGTGAAGGTAAAATCACTACCCATTATATCCCATCTAGCGAGGGTAGGGGTAAGGGCAATTTTTGTATGCAGCCTTGCTCTTGAATATCGAATATAGTGAACCAAATTTATTGCACCTGATAATGGATATCCCTATTAATTTTCATTAATTTATCTGTTTAAATTGAGCTCTATTCTTTTTGTGAAGTTGTATTAATCATATTTGTTTAGTAGTCAGGAAAGTATGGAAGTCTGTCACGGAAATGAATTTATTTTTCTCTGTTTAGTGGCTAATATCTCGCAGGTTGCATGGTTGTAGAGCTAGTATTCAATGATTTAAGAATTCATATACACAATGATTCATAAGGAGCTTTGCATCTGTGATTTTGATGGGTATATTCAGTTGATATGAAGTTTAATGTTGGATGTCACTTGAATCATGATGGTTGGAGGGTTACTCATGTTTCTTGATAAAGTTAAACTGTAACTTGGGAATCTTAGGCAATTATCATTTCCTCTCTAAATCTAGACTTTCATTTCCTTTTCTTTTCGTAACAGAACATATGTTTGGTGTCTTAATTTCATGGAGTATGTGATTTATTGATATTATGTGGATGGCTTTTAGGTTTCTTTTTAATGGTAATGGAGTTGGTGGATATCCATATGTGACAAAGTGATATAATTCATTTTCTTTTGCGGATTACTTATGCAGTGTAACTTAAAAATTAGGTTTAGTCAATATACTATACACTGCTATTGATCGATTGGAGTTATTCAGGTTTTAAAAAATTTACCTATCAAGGAGTGGCTTATTTATTTGAAAGAGACGTCAAATGGGTACCTATTTAATGTTTTTCTTTTTGATAAAAGAAGGAATTCATCAAGACATGAAAAGAAAATTACAATGGAGAAGGGATTCTTCTTAATGGAAAGAGGAACAAACAAACAAGCAAAGAGAAAACACCAATGGAGCAATGCTGTCCAATCTGTCTTCATAAAGAACTTAAAAAGACAATGACCTATATGCCAAATTGAAGTCAAGGGCCTAATCTTGTTCCCAATTAGCTGCTGTGCCAAAGAAATCTTGTTACAAATATGTGTAAGAGCACCAAATAGTAACATATAATTGCTATAAAAATTTAGCCTCTTTACTTACCACTAAAATTATGAAAGCTAGTCGCACAAAATTGGTCCCAAGAAACAATGTAAAGAAACAACAGCAGAACATGTAATAACAGATGAGGAACCAAGTCTTATTTGGCCTATGAGCTTGCAATGTGTCATTGGTATTTGTTCTATTAAAAACTGCAGTCAAATAAAAAACTTGACCTTAGAGAGAGCTTTGGACATCCAAAGGGGTACATCAAGATGGAAAGGTATCTATAGAATTGTTTTAATTACTTAAAATAGACACAAGTTCTTGATGTACAAAGCTGAACATTTTTGCAGTATTTAGATGAGATGACTATAATATTCCTATCTTATTGATTATTTAAGCAAATATCCCGATCCTATTGGAAGTATTGAGCTTTGTAGTCTTGCATTGTTGTATGAACGATGTTGCTTGTTGTCATCATTTTTACATTCTTTTTTTCTTATGTTTAATGAATGTTGGTTTAAGATATAAATGTTGCATATTAATTTTTATCCGCCTTTTCATGCGTTTGGATCTGATTTCCTTTTGCTTCCTTCTTAATGAATAATCGATTTGAGGATGAGTCTTGGAGCAGCGGTAAGGTTGCTCCTTGTGACCGGAAGGTCACTGGTTTGAGTTTAAGAAACAGCCTCTTCGCAAAAATGCAAGGGTAAAGTGCATGCAATCGTCCCTCAACCTTATGCTCACAAGTTCATGAGCCTTGTGCATGGGGGGTTGCCCTTAATGAATAATTGATACTTTATTCTATTTTTCATTTTTCAACTACTTCTAAATTTGTGTAGGTTATTTGGGCTGGGTTTGACAAGTTAGAGGGTGAGGGAGAAGTCATTCAGCAAGTACTTCTTCTAGGCTATCGTTCGGGCTTCCAGGTTTGGGATGTTGAGGATTCAAATAACGTCCGTGACCTAGTTTCCAGACAAGATGGTCCTGTTTCTTTTTTGCAAATGGTACCAAGTCCAATTTTATCAAAGAGACCAGAAGATAAGTTTGCAGACAAGCGCCCATTGTTAGTAGTTTGTACGGATGGTTTCTTTGGTGGAAGAAGCAAAGTTCAAGATGGGTTGGCCGCCCCTTGCAATGGCAGCACTTTAAAATGCCTAGACCAAGTGAATGGAAACTATCTCCCAACAACTGTTCAGTTTTATTCTATGAGATCCCAATTATATGTTCATGTACTAAAGTTTAGATCGGTTGTTTATTCTGTAAGGTGCAGTTCTCGAATAGTCGCTGTTTCTCTAACCACTCAGGTATACTTTCAAATATCTATATCAAGCTCCTTAATATCTGTTTTCTTAGAATGTTTAATGGAGTCTTTGTTTTGCAGATACACTGTTTTGATACCACAAGTTTAGGAAAAGAATATACTTTACTTACCAATCCTATAGTAATGAGTTTTCCTGGTTCTGGAGGTATTGGCTATGGACCACTTGCAGTGGGTCCTAGATGGCTGGCTTATAGTGGAAGCCCAGTTACAGGTGCCATTTCTGGCTGTGTCAACCCACAACATTTAACACCTTCTCCAAGCTTTCGTGGTTTTTCTTCAAATGGGAGCTTGGTTGCACACTACGCCAACGAGTCTAGCAGGCATCTTGCTACTGGGATTTTGACCCTTGGAGATATAGGGTATAAGAAGCTTTCCAGATACTGCTCGGAGCTTCTCCCTGATAGCAATGGTTCTTTACAATCTGTAAATACTGTATTCAAGGGAAATGGAATCGTTAATGGCCATTCAGCAGATGTGGATAACATTGGAATGGTAAATACTGTTTGTCCTAATTTTGTATTCACTTTTCATTGGAACCGTGTGTGTTGTGCTTGATTATCTTTTGGGCTCAAATAGATAGCATCCTCCCTATATTAGGCTGTGCTTGTCTAGTCTGAGGTAGTACTTAATATTATTGTTAGAATATATGAAAAATATCTCATAATGTCTCAACTCTATCCTATCCCAAGATTCTTTACATAGACTAATTTCAAAATGGTATAAATAAGGATTATCTCTCCGGAATAGTTTCCTTATTTCTTTATATTTCATTATTTAATTGGAATTTAGAGTATAATATTAGTATAAATAAGGATTAGTGCTTTGTTGTTTGTATTACATCATAACATATCAAATCATTATCAATTTCATACTATTCACTTTATTTTCTGTTTCATTCCTTTTTCACCTAGGTTCCCATAATTTCAAAATGGTATCAAAGTGGTAGCGACCTGTCTCATCATTATTTCGACCAGTTTCCTAAAATCTGAAACTCTACTGTAACAATGTCATTTTCTTCATGATTCTTTTCTTCTAGTTGGCTGTGCACAAATTATGATCACCTTTTACTTTGCTGGTGTGATTTTTGCTAACCGCTGTTCCACATCCATTTCTCAACTTTGTCACTATTTTTTGGTCTTTGCCACCCTCTATACAGCACCTTTTTGGCCTTTACTGCTGTTCCTAGCACCTTTGTTGGTGGGATTTTTGCATGTTTATGTCTTTGTGGAAAAAGTAGTCTACTACAATTTAGCAAAAGCTTAAAGTTTTGTATTTTGTTTCATCTCAGGTTGGGTTCACCATGTTTGTATACTTTGGTCTTGGTTACCCTTCTACAATTCGATAACTGATGTTATTAGATTTTATATTTTGATTTTACCTATAATAACTTTTATTGGTCTCTTTTAGGTCATTGTGAGAGATATATCCAGTAAAAATGTTGTTGCCCAATTCCGGGCCCACAAGAGTCATATTTCAGCTTTATGCTTCGATCATAGTGGGACCATATTAGTTACTGCTTCCGTTCAGGGGCATAACATTAATGTTTTTAAGATAATGCCTGGATATGAGAGCTTGTCAGAATCTGATGCTCGTCCTTATGCTCATCTCTACAGGCTGCAACGTGGCTTTACAAATGCAGTGAGTTCATCTTCCTGCCCATTCTTTGGATTAATACATAGCCATTTTCTTATTTAAAATTCATTTACACGAAACTAGGTCTCTTTTTAAAAAAAAGATGTAAAAAATAAAAAATAAATCTATATTTGACTTTTCAGGTTATACAAGATATCAGTTTCAGTGTTGATAGCAAGTGGATTATGATTAGTTCCTCAAGGGGAACTAGCCATCTATTTGCTATAAATCCTCAAGGAGGACCTGTAAATATTCAGTCATATGATAATAGTTTTACTGGAAAAAATGGTGGATTGACTAATCAAGCAGTTCTCTGGCCTCAGAGTTCAGCCTTAGAAATTTCAAAACAGCAGATTCTTTGTGCTGCTGGCCCTCCTATCACACTTTCTGTTGTAAGCAGAATTAGGAACGGATCTAATGGATGGAGAGGCACTGTAACTGGTGCTGCTGCAGCTGCAACTGGTAGGATGAGTTCCATTTCTGGGGCTATTGCTTCATCTTTCCGCAACTTAAAAGGCAACAGTGCTTTGTATGTTGATGGGAACTACTCAAAGGAAAAGTATCATCTGTTGGTCTTTTCACCGACTGGTTCTATGGTTCAATATGCTCTGCAGACATTTAACAATCAAGATTCAGCTGTTGTTTCTGGATTAACCTCTGCTTATGAATCCTCTCCAAAGATGGATGCAAGAGTAATAGTTGAGGCTATCCAGAAGTGGAATATAAGTCAGCAACATAGTCTGAGAGAGCGAGAAGATAATTTTGACATATATGGAGAGAATGGGATTTCAGACGGCCATAAAGTATGTTCAGAGGAAGCGCACAAGGATAATATCATTAGCCCTAAAATCAAGAATGTAGCCATGAAATCGAATACCTGTCCTGAAAAAGAGCATCATTTGTATATTTCGGAAGCTGAACTGCAAATGCATCAAGCTAAGACTCCACTGTGGGCAAAGGCCGAGGTATATAATTAAAACTAGAAATTGTATTTTTGATGTTTATTATCATACTCTTAGGTAGGAAATTTAATTGCATGATAGTTTGGCATTTAAATACATGATTATGTTGTGCCAACCAGATATATTTTCATTCAATGGGTAAAGAGGCTACTATGATGATGGGTGAAGAAGCTGCTTCAGGAGGAGAAATTGAGATTGAAAAGATTCCAACTCGAATGATAGAAGCTAGGTCAAAAGACTTGGTTCCAATTTTTGACTATATTCAGACCCCAAAATTTCAAGAAATGAGGTTTGATGACTAATTAATATACTAATCAGTTATTTAGATTGGTCAAAAAACTTAGGCTTTGGATTTGTGCTTATTATTGTTGTACGCAACGACAGTACCTCAATTTTCAAAGGCTGGATGGAAATAACAAATTTGATGACTTTCGTCTCGATTGATGAAGAAATTTCTTTGGGTTTTGGCCTGCCTATTATTCTTGATTTACCCTTTGTATGCAAGGTGATTTTTTATTTATGATAATGAAAAATTATGGTTCTCTTACAGGACTCCCTCTCTGGATAACAAGTTAAATGAACAACTATTGCAACAAGGTTCCAAGTTGTTTGAAAATGGAAGGATTTCACCCAGGAGTATTTTGGGATCTACTGAGTGTATGACTAATTCTGGTGGTATTATTGCGGAATATAAAAGTGTGATTGAAGGAAATGAGTGGCATGATCATTTGATTCCATCAGAAAAAAAGGGTTTTGTAAATAATAATGACACCATTCCACCAAATACTAGGCATGGCATTGTAAATAATAGAAGAGAGCACTTAAACATGGAGGCTCAACACATGATTGTAAATAATTACAGAGAAGGCCTGAAAATGGAGAATCACTTTGAAGAAAAAGGAAATGAATTTGATTAAAGGTAATATTTTAATTTCTGATGTAGTTATTGTCAAATGGTAAGTTTCTTGAGATAATTGAATTGTTTTACTAAATCAATAATGTACGTGTAAAAGACTGTTATATTTCTGAATATTCTGGTTATTTATATATTTGTAATCGAGCTATGGTTAACAATTGCATTTAATTTTATTTTTTTCCTTCTTTTTTTAATATAGGTTTGGGAAATATTCTTTCATTTCGCATGGTAGGCTTTATTAACTGTGTTAATATTATGTTGGAGAGGTAGAGAAGCTTGTGTAGGGGCTTGACCAACGATGCTATAATGTGGACACTGCGTTGGGATTCTTCTGTTGACCTTGTAAATAACAGACAAATGCATATCCATAATTAGTTGTAATGTGTAGTGTAAATAACATACATATTCTCTTTTTTCTTTCATTCTATATAATTAATTTGATTTAGCTCTCATCTTGAATTTTGTCTTTTTGATTGTTACTTGACCTAGTTTTATGAAATTATCGTGGCAAAAAGATCAGTTTAGGGAGAATTTTTTTTTGTCGCACACTTAATTTGTAGGTGGTTTAAATTGAATGCAGGGTTATGTTAAATTATCTGCTAATAGGCTGCGTGAAAAGTGGTGTGTAAATAACATGTTTTATGTGAAAAGTGGTGTGTAAATAACATGTTTTATCTGATCATAACCCAATGTTGGATGATCATAATCTAAGCAGGACTTCTATTTAATTCAATTAGTAACTTGATGAATTAAAATTTTTAGCTCGTTTATAAATGAGCTAAGTTTGAACTTTCAATCATTCCATTTTCTAGCTTTGCTTTATATATGAATATATGAACATAATAATAATAATAATAATAATAATAATAATAATTATTATTATTATTATTATAGTATTTTAGTTTAATATAGAAATAATTTTTTTATATTTGGTCTAACTAATTGTTCTTTTTGTTTTTGTTTTAACTGAACACTTGTATAAAAACATTTTTTATTAAGTTCTAAATTTACACTTAGGAGACGTTTGGTATAGGAGATAATTTTTTTATTCGAGAATTACGATTATCGGAAATATGATTTGAAAGTGAGTTTTTTGGGGATGGTATCAAAAAACTATTTGATAGACCAAAATATAACTAGGAATATTGGCTCAAAATCACTAAATTTATGTTTGGTTGATTATGAAATATCACCGGGAATGGAATGTAAGATCATTTTACAAAAATAATCTCTTGTCAAATATTGTCTTTTCTTCAAACTTTTCCTTCTTCCAAATTTGCAGGTTCTTGATGCTTTTATGTGAATATGAAAAATCAATTCAAGATCATGTGGCAAAAACTTGTTGTCTTCTTGCAACACACGTTGTTGAATAACTAACAACATTAATTTTTCCATTCAATCCTTTTTCACCGATCTATACTTATTACTTATATACAAGTTAGTTTTAGAGTATTAAGCAGCTGCATAATGTTTATTATTTTTCCAGTCGGTGCAATCATCGCATCATGAGATATTTAAAATATTGGCTTATGCGATTTCAAGGGAAAACCAAACTGAGCGTGTTTTGCTGGAACCAGAAAGAGAAAATTACCGTGGGTTCAACAACATCGCATCACGTCATTTCAACAACAACACCATGGGTTTCATCTGTTTCTTCATTGGTGTGACTTGCTGGAACTAGAAAAAGAAAAAGAGCGAAGAAGAAGAAGAACAAAGGAGGTAGAACTAAGAAAAAGAACGAAGAAGACGATGGTTATTTTTGTCCATAAAAAATTATAAGATATTCCCATCATATGGATTCACAAAATACCACCCTTTTGGTGGTATTCTCATATGGTATTCCTCTTCACAAAATCAATTCCCAGACTTCTGAGTTTCCTGGAAATTTTTTTAAAATCTCTCTACCAAATATGGGAAAATAGCATTCCCTATATCACTTTCCCAAGAATTTAAAATAAATCCTCTTACCAAACACCCTTTTAACTCATTTAGGTAAATTTTTTAATTAATATAAGATTTGAGTTAGCCCTAACTCAAGCTTGCTCGATCCACTTCCAGTCTTATTTGGTGATGATGCAGATTTTAATTAAAAATAATAAGTAAAGGGTCGATTCAAATTGTCCAAAGCTTTCCATCCCCGAGTTAAACAAATCAAGTACTTCTATGTTGACGTAAAGCCATTCTTAGGAAAATTTCAGTTCATCTTTGATATAAGTTATTCAAAATTAAAATTGATTTATAAGCCATAATTTACAGAAAAATATTAGAGTTTGTTAGGAATGATAAGCCTTCTTTTGATGTTTAGAATAAGAATTTAAATAGACGCCTGAAGTTCAAGTTTTAGTAATAATGTTATGCTATACTAAAAAATGTTGTAAAATATGAATGACTTAAATCATGTTTCTATTACGTTACCGTTGGTACTAACGGTACAATTATGGATGACGTTACTATTGACAGTAGTGGTGTAATTATCTCTCATTCATGATTATGTAATCACCGCACTAATGGATCATTACTCCCTTATTCATGGTTGTAATCTTATATATTGACATTGTTTATATTGGAGTATATAGCTGAATTAGAATTAGAATTCTACCCTATTTGTCTACTTTGCTCTTTGTCTCCATCTTTTTCTCTCATTCCTCTTTTATTTTATAACACGTTATCAGCACGATAACTTCTATCTTCTTCATCGTTCCCCTTCCTACCTCCAATACCACCGTCCTTTTATCTGGGTTTTTCTAAACTCTTTGTTGCGGTGATTAAGGACAACATGTTATGATTTTCAGCGTCATTGCACCATCGTTTTTTCCATTTATTTTCTTTCTTTTAAGAAACTTGGCAACATGTGATTGCTCTTGTCCATTCTTCATATTTGTTTTCAATTTTTATTACAATATAAATTTCATTTATTTATATGTTAAATAATGATTTTTTTGAACGATGCTATTTGATCAATCAAGTACAATATGGGCTGGCCAATATGGACTGGGCCGAATCACACACGGTTGAAGAGCGAAGACTTTGGGTTAGGTGAAGTGCTTCGTGGGCTGAAGATGTCTGCTTTGCAGTTAAAGGATGATGTGCTTCCTCCGGCGCGATGGATCTGACTGGGGGTACCCGCAATGGCACTCTGATGATGCTTAAGTCAGTATTAATACTAAGCTAATGTTATATTCTTACTGAATTAGATAGATGTACTTGGGTATGTATTCCTAGCTTATATAGAAATTCTTTATGCCACCTTTGGTAGGCGGTATGCCTTCTGATTAGCTGTTCCTGGGCTACAGATTTATCTGTCTCAACTGGTGCCTTTCTGGATATACTCCTATATGATAGGCTACCTTCTTAGAGTAGTGGCCAGTTGGAGCTATTTTTCGTGTGTTAGCTTATGGCGCGGTGGTTCCTTGTTTTGTTATAGGATCCTTCCTTAGTTCTTAAGTAATGTTTTAGGCGGTTAGGCGCAATGAGGCCATTAGGCCTTTAGGTCTTTATGCGCGATGGAAACTTTGCGCATTTTGTTGGACCCATGTGTTTCTGGGCCTATTCTACGCTTTAACCCTTTGTGGGCCTAATGTAATTTATCTAGATCAGTTGCCCCCTAGCTGATCACTTTTATATTTTAGAAGGTAAAAGATGTGAGATATGTAGATGTATTATTGCATGCTCCTCTTCCGTCAATTTTTGGTGCTTTGGACCATATCTCGTACGTTATAAAAATATCATCATTACACTGCCGCTTAAAATGGTTGATTATACTTTAACTGTCAGAAGCATTAAATGCTACCTAAATTACGTGGGTATTTTAACAGCAAACATGGGGTGTTTTAAAGTTTAACCTTTTTAACTTCTCCACATGTGCCCCCTTTTATCCGTTTCATCCAACACGTTTTACTTTAATCTCCTTCGGTGACTTTTTATATTTGTACTGAGTTGCTTAAGTGGAGGGAAAGACATTCGAAGATACTCATTTCTGCTACAAAGTGCTCCTCTCCAACATTCTGACTCTAAGTTTTCCTTTGGTGACACGTCCTACTTTCTTGTTTTCTACCAGAAATATAAAGCTCAGGTATACTCTACCTTCTTTTCTGCATATTATTTGTTCAAGTGTTCTTCATCTTCTTTTTTTTCTTCCTTTTATCACATTAAGGTATGCCTGATAATCACAAATTTGTGAATTTTATCAGAATGGCCGAGAGGTCTGACTCCACCAGTCCTCCATCATGGTATTTCCCTAGGTCCAGGTCTTTAGGGATTGGGGAATGGTGGCTAACAGGCAAGGGTACTGCACCTTGGGAGAAAGTGAAACTTGACAAAAGTTTCCCTTCCATGCTTCGAGGATATGAAATAGGATCCTCATCCCGGAAATCTAAATGCGAGATATCCAAGACTTTGTCTCAACAAAGTTCATCCCCTCTTCCCGTATTTAAAGTGTCAGTATAGGAGAAGGTGGCCAATCCTATTTGTATATCGAGTGACTCCAGTTCTGGCCCTAAAAATTGTTATGATCCTGTGAATGCCCTAGGTTCTGAGGATTCTTTGAATGTAAATTCGTGAATGCCCTAGGTTCTGAGGATTCTTTGAATGTAAATTCACCAAATTCAACACACAATTCACCTTCTCCCATCGCGCGTAATGAGCCAACCCAAGAGAAAAGCCCTAGTCCACTTTTATTAAGTGTCATCTATCCCACAGGGTATCCGTATAAGAAACACAAATTTGACAACCTTAAGTCCTCATATGCTAGTTCTTCCTTTTCTTCTTCTAGCTCTACTAATTCCTCCTCTTCTGATATAGATTTTATTTCGCCCAAAATCAAAGAAATTATGGCAAAGCACGGTGCAGCTGGCGAGAAGAAGAAGCAACGTCAGGATCCCGGGGCTACGGGAGCAAGTACCTCAAGTATTCGCAGTGCTGAAAGTCTGGAGTGGGTGTCTAACATCGTTCGAGAGATTATCTCAATCTATAGTTCACCGGGGGAACTTGAGGAATTGAAGGCCACTATCCATCTGACACAGAACAAAGCGGAGGATGATCAATGGGAATTATCAGTCATCCCTCTGAATGAGCGTGTGTGTTCATCCCGGGCTGATGGCTCATCAAAGCCTTTTTTTAATGATGTACGCGTATTACTTCCTAAACGTTGGAATGCGTCTTCCTTTCTCACCTTTTGTCTACAAATTACTAGAACATATTCAGGTAGCTCCGTCACAATTGTCTCCCAACGCCTGGGGTTTTATAAGAGTTTATGAAATGGTATGTGTTGGGTGGTTTGCTGATGGTGGAAAAATGTAAGTTCTGATAGGGGACGTTCCTCTGTTCTTGCAGAACACAGATTCGTTCC